AAATAGGGAAGGAGAAAAGAGTAGCATAATAACAGATAATCAGTCTGTGTTGTAGACGGTATTAGGTCATTACGTTGTGCTGGATTTCCTAGTGGGTTGGAATGTATTAATATTGCTTCATGCAATTTTCTCGCAGATAATTGAACGCGGACTAATGACTCAAGCCGAGTATGATGAAGTAAGCAGGAAAGCACTGAGCTTGTTTGAGTATGGACAGGTAACTTGACTTTATTCTTATCGTCTTATTGCAATGAACATTTTAAAATGTAATTATCTGAAAACATATTGGGAAATTGGGACTACTTGATAAATATATAGGCTTCTGAATGAGATTGTATTATAGCATTACTATTTTAGCATAAAAGTGGAATAGAAGAAAGGCTACAATAAGGAAAAGTTGGAAGAGCCTGAACATATTCTTTTGAACGGTTGAAAAGTGTGTGATTTTGTTTTCTCTTTTTGCTTCAATTTTTATTGGTTTCTTGTATATCATTTAGGGTCACAAGTCTTTGTTAAAGGCTTTGATCTTGGACATTAACTTTGTATACCTGGACACGACCAAGGATTTGTGTGTGTATAAGTTTATCGAGCATACATATTTGAGCAATCCAAATAAATATATTTGCCAAGGTAACCAGCTGTATATGTTTGTGGGGAGATTATCATAATTGACTTGAGTTCAGGTACTGACCGAATCAACTTCTTATTTAAATAGTAACCATCACCCAAACTTACCAGTTTTACCATTTCTTTCATGTTGCAGCGTGTGGCTTTGGAACATGGCTTGATATTGGCAGACACAAAATATGAATTTGGAAAGGGCCAGGATGGTTCCATTCTTTTGATTGATGAGGTTTAGCATTCTCTTCTGTAAAATTTTAATAGTTCTTTCTGGCTCATAAATACACTTTTTCAAATAATGTAATGAGAGTTGATTTCCACTCCTTTCCATTCCAGGTGCATACACCTGATTCAAGCAGATATTGGATTGCACATACTTATGAGGAGCGATTTCAGAATGGTCTTGAACCCGAAAATGTTGATAAAGTATGCAATGCATTTATACTGTTATGTTCTTTTCGCCCTTTTAATCTTATGATCTTATTGACAAATTATGTTTTATCTGACATTTATATCTTTAATTCTTAGGAGTTCTTGAGGTTGTGGTTCAAAGATCACTGCGATCCTTACGAAGATGAGGTAGTTCACGTGAAGTTCAATATACTTTCCTTTTTGCGTTTGAGCATGTGTAAACTTCAAATCTCACTCTGATGCTTAAAACTGTTAGGTCCTCCCTGATGCTCCTGAGGAACTCGTTTGTGAACTAGCTTGGCGGTATGCCACTTCATACCGTGCCTTACATAATTTATTGTATACTATATTATAATGCCTTCAACATGCTTCATGGATGTAAACAAGGAGTGTTAACCTGGCCACCCGACTCAGCAGGTCAGGGGTGGGTCACCATAGGCGCATTTTGAGCTGCTCGAATCCTAAATACTTGATAATAAACTGCTAATTGACTTGTTAGAAATTTGTACTTGGTAGTGTGTTTTATGATGGAATATCATATTTGAAAGACATCTGGCCTTCCCACCTTGGTTATGATGCAGTTTGTTAGGGTATTCTGTCTAAGCAAAACATGGGAATGGGGTATCTGGAGATGAAATGTTAATGTGTCTTTCCATCCTTTGTTTCCTCCGGTTCATATTGTGATTAGGAATATTTCGCTGATGACAACTCATCCTTCAATCCCTCCTCCCTCGCTTTCCTGGGTTTCCCTTCCCCCACCTCTCCCCTATCTGCCTTCCCCCTGTATCTAAGTAGAACTAGCCTTGCCCTTAATGTGTTATTGTTTGATAAGCTCCGTACAGAAGCGACTAAGTTTGAAGATTTTTGTATCTACCACTACTTGGACTGAGATTATTCTTTGATGACAGATACATTTTCCTGTACGAGACAATAACAAAATCAAAATTCAAGCTGCCCTCCACGGAGGTAAGACTTGGAGATAAAAATACGTCATCGACGTATTGCGAGTATTGTGTGGAGATTGTTGTAACATAATTTTCTGCTTTTTCATTCAGGAACCAATACATGATCGGATATCACGCAATGTTGCACAGGCGCTGTCATCTCTGACTCGATAACTTTGTAGTGTGTAGCACAAATTTTATGCTGGAATTGAGTCAACCCTTCCTTTCCACCCGAAAGAGGAAAGCATCCGAAATGATTGGAATGCAGTTTGTTGTGCTGTTTTTGGGATATTGTCTCTATGTTAGGTGCTTAACCAGTGGCTTGTATGCAACACTAGGTTAGGTGGTACTAGCTTTAATTAAGCCAAAAGCATTTTAAGCTGCCATAAGCTTTTGCTTAAAGTATGCTTGCGTGCAAATGTAATCAGACCACATTACATCGGCAGATGCCTGATGTTGTGCTTATAACTATTATTTGCAAGGATATGAAATTTTATTTACTTTTAAAACAATGATGGGTGTAAGATTTTTAACACAGGACATTGTATTATTGGATCGGGATGCTAAGTGACGGTGAACCTGTTCCATGTAAGTTGATCATTTTTTTATAGACGCTATGGTCTAGTTTATGTTTTATTCTCTAAAACTTCATCCGTTAGTCTTAGCTACCAAATTAACCTTTGTTTTTCTGACCGTACAGAGTTGACATTATGCATCTGTACATTGTTCATCAACAAAAAATGAATCCTTTAAATGGATGGATTAGGAACTTATTGCCTATAAAACTTGTGTTCATATCAGTATACATCTTACTCCCTTTCCTCTTGTATAAATGTGATTTAAAGTAGATGCATCAACTATTAAGCCTACGCATCTTGACGGGGATTTGATTGATTAGTATTTTGTTAATTGAGTTTGTTCCCTTGCTGTTTTGAAGTACATATGTTTACTTTTGTACACTTCTATCAATTTTTTGTAATCAGATCGAATGAATTAAAGACAATTAACGACAAAAAAATTAATATAAGCGTTTGAGAGGTAAAAATGATGCGTAAAAAGCACTAATTCTAAACACATGGGAAAATGATTTTGATATTCCGTCTTTATCCTCTTGTTTTTCTAGGCACCAAATTATACAATTCGACGGTGAATCGAGACAATAACAAACAAAAGAAGTGAAACAGGACATAAAAGAGTGAAAATAGTTTTAAACATATGCCATATATTAGTAAATAAGTAGTTTTTTTTTTCTTTTCAAAAAAGCAGTATTATAGTGTTCGGTAAACTTTTATATAAAATAGTTGTGACTGTATGAAATGACCAAAAATGGTATAATACTAGATGTGCCATTAATTTAATTTTCTCCATCTACATCGAGTAGTCTCTCCCACTACCCCACTACTGAACCAAACTTTCCAAAAACCAAAATCATCTTTCTAGAAGTCTCCTCCACAACCCCAATTTTCTCAGTTTTTATTTTTTTTGCTCCGTCTTCTTCACTTTTATTTTCTGCTCCATTCCTCAATCTTTCTCACATGTCATCTGATTTGTACTACATACATGGTCTAGCTACTCGAGGAGTTCATTATATACATCCAGCAGGCCCAACACTCCAGGATGCTCATTTCTTTCTTCTTCCGAGACTAATAATTTTTTCTTTTTGAAAATGTATAGTGTGAATTTGATTATACGAAGTAGTTTCCTGTATTTAATTTTGGATATTTGGAATAATTAAGTTTTGGTGTCCTTCTGGGCAATCTGGGCTCTCATAATTTGCAGAAATATGAAGATCAGTCGCCTGTAAGTGGTGCAATCTGGGCAAATCTACGATGCCAAAACCGAATCTGGTCCTTGTCGGAAAAGATGGTGGTATATCTCAACGCGATTTTGTCGTCATAGGAGTGAGATAGGACGAACAAGAGATGGGAAGAAGGACAGAGGCAGAAACAACGTCCTACGGGTATGAAATTCAAGGTCAATAGCAGTGATTGTTGAAGCTAGGAGTGAACGGCGTTGTGGCGGGATCGACAAGGACGACCTCCCAATTGAAGTTAGCGATGTTTTCCAGTTGGTATTATGTGTAATTATTTAATTGTTTAATGTCATTTTGGGTGTTTGAAAGTTTCATTAAAGGGCTTAGCGTCTCTTGCAAATTAGGTTTGCACAGAAGCTGTGGAAGCAAAAAAAGTTGGTTTTTCAAAGCTAGCTTTTGCTGCTTTGAACTTTTAGCTTTTTTTTATCCAAAATTGTGAAAAAAAGCTGAAGTTGAATGTTTACCAAATACAAAAAAGCTCCTAGATTTTTTTGATACCTGATTCTTTTAAAAGTACCTCAAATCCAAACCAATACGAAGTACGTTATATACACAATATTACAAACTTACTTAACCACAAAGCAACTAACAAATCACCTAACAACTCGTTCAACCACTTAACAAACATTCTAAAAGTTTGGCTGATGCGACATTGATTACACAGTAACCAATGACCAAAAGACATCTATCTACCTAAACTGGAACGGACTTGGATTCTCTGCCCTCCCCATCTCATGCCCTTCCTATGTCCTCCTATATTCTGTGGTCACGATTAAACCACGTTAACATTTTATATTGATTTTTTATAGAAATAATAAGACAAAAAGTAATGAGAATATAAAATATTGACGTGGCTTAACCGTGACCACATAAATAGGAGGGCATGAGGAGGGTAAGAGATGGGAAGGGCAGACAATCCAAATCCAACTGGAACACTGCAATAATAATATATCCGAATAACATAATAGAAGAAGCTAGAAGAGAAAAGTCGCTTACGACAAGTCAAAGCCGTCTCCATCTCAAACGTTGCAGGTCAAACTCAAAGTTTTAACTGCAAGAAAATTCGTCTGGTCAAAAAAGAAGGAAAATAAAAATAAAAATAAAACAAAAAAGAAAACTCAATCATTGGCTTACGTGACATCAGCAATGACGTCACAAAAGATAAAAGAAGAAATCATTGAACTCTGTCTATAAATTGGCATGCGGAATTGGGAATATGATGCCACAAAACTGGAACAATGTCTGGAGAATCAGTGAAATTGCTTGGGTACTGGGCAAGTCCTTTTGCTCTCAGAGTAAAATGGGCTTTGAAACTCAAAGAGATTGAGTACCAGTATGTTGAAGAGGACCTCCCAAACAAGAGCCCCTTGCTCCTCCGTTACAACCCCGTCCACAAAAAAGTACCCGTTCTTGTGCACGACGGCAAGCCGGTCGCGGAATCGCTCATTATACTCGAATACATCGATGAGACGTGGAAGCACAATCCGATCCTGCCGCAAGATCCCTACGAAAGGGCACAGGCACGCTTCTGGGCCAGATTCATCGATGAAAAGGTAATTGAATGAGCTATCTTGATCAACAAGTAATAATCTTTCATTCATAATATTCACAAGCACCAACTGGGTGAATTAGCATTCAAACGGACCATTTGTTGTTGTTTGTTTCAGTGTGTGCCGGCAATTATGAGTGCATTCACCAACCAAGGGGAGGAGAAAGAGAAGGCGGCAAAAGAAGCGCGAGAGAACCTTAAGACGTTGGAAAGTGCCCTTGCTGGAAAGGACTTCTTCGGAGGAGAAACCGTTGGCTTTGTGGACATAGCTGCTGGGTGGATTGGATTGTGGGCTAGAATCGTCGAGGAGATAGCAGACGTAAACCTGATTGATACCGAGACCATGCCTCTGCTCAACGCTTGGTTTGGAAGAGTTCTCGAGGCTCCTGTTCTCAAAGAATGCGTGCCCCCTCAAGATAAATTGCTGGAGCACAACAGAGGGTTTCACAAGATTTTGACAGCAGCATCAAGTTGAAGTGTTCGGTGCCATCTCTCGATGGTCCCTGCAGATTGTTATCATCATTTCATTCACAAAAATGGTTGTGTGCGAGGAATAAAATGAGCATCAGCTCAATTCATGGTATCATAAATCAATAAATTGGTAAAATACAATTAAAATGTTTGCATTTCAGCAGCGCTTTAAAGAAATAATATCAGGGAAAATAATACCTTAAAAATCATGACCAAACATTTCATCTGTTGATTGCTCGGTCGCAGTGAAGGAAAATGACCCAAGATGCAGCTATCTTCCATAATAATCTACACACTGACACAGGTGCTGCGTCCCTTACTGTATGGATTAGAAAACTGGAGGAGGAGAGACTATTGGATAAATATTTCTCTCCAACTTTAAGTAACAAAGAAGCAACTTCCCCGAATCATTGGACCTATATCTTTCATGAACAATTGCTCCTTCGAGTCATTGATTCACCAACCAACAGTCAGAGAAGCGTTAACCTGTCCTGTGAGCCTTCATAGGAAGCCTAAGTTACCATGCACAACTGTTTACCACAGTTAGTAAATAGCGTATAATAAGCGTATTATACAAGCACTTGTACGAATTAAAAAAAATGCCGACTTCCATACACATATTAATGATTCGTTAAATTGTACAATTTTTATAACTCTAACGTACGATACACCTAAGCACATGCTTTTCACGTTTAAAACACGCCATTTACAAACATTTTTCAAAAATACATATAAAATTCAAGCATTCTACCCGTATTTTTACCATATTCTGTGATTCTTTTCGTTCACTTTACGGTCCTATATATTTTGAGCTTTGTGTATATTGTTATTGTTGAACCTCACATTGGGCTATAAGAAAATCATGTATCTACTACTTGTATACAATTCATAGCAGACTCTCCGGGCACCATTGTCGGCCAAGTGACGTAGAATGCTTCAGTCCTCTTTAAGTGGCAGCTTCTTCAGCGCTGGACATTCTTCTCCCAAGATTGCATTTTGTACAAACTGAAGGCCAAGGAAGCACATGTGATTCGTCGTTCGTCGTCATTGACATCCGAGGATCATTAGGTGCTCGTTCTGTACAATAAATTTCAAATTCGTCCAAATTAGGATATTCCACAATGTGAAGGATATCAACATGTTTCATATTCTTCAGAGATGATATATCTACAACATCTGAGTGATTCTTTCCATCCTAGAGGTGTAGAGTTTGAGTGCAGGTCATCAAAAGCGTAAAGGCAGAAATTAAGCGTAAAGGCAGAAATTCGTCTGGAGCTTTACCAGCGCCAGTTCCAAAGAGACGAATATGGAATACCTGTTACCAATATCATGGCTGCTGGCCTACCGATGTATATTCTGATGTTCATCAAATCTTAAAGGAAGTCTCTGTTTCTTTTACTGTTTCTGCATGTGAAGACTAAGACCTCTTGTTACTAAATCTGAAACCAAAGATATCCAGAAGGGGCCATCCTGGGCCCAAACACGACAGGGGTTTAAGTCCCTGTTTTAGTTTGCAAGAAGACTACAAATTCATGCACACAAACAGACGCACACGTTTGAGAACCAAGAACACAAATAGCCAAAGGACAATTTTCTGAGGTTATCTGCACTTGAAAATAAGATTTGACATAGTTCACACTAGCCAAACTAATTTTTGCTAGTTGCATTCATGTGAGTGCCACACCGTATCTTGTAAACTGAAAATATGTCTTTACAATAACAATGTGCATAAAATTCGGAAGATAACAGCTAAAATCCCTACACAACAGAGATACGGAAAATCAAGATATTTAAAATCTGGCGTTGTAGGCTCTTGGGTATGAAGCATCTCCTCTTTACTAGGCTACGGGTCACAATCGAAGTCAATCCCACACTCACTTAACAAAAGGAAGGTGTTAGAGGAAATTACAAGAAGCTTCGTATATCTATAGAGAACTAATCTATTCCCTTACACATGTCATACTAAACTCGAGTAGCACTCCACTTTTCTTGATGAGTCATGTAGAAGTGGCATATCTTCAATCCAATCAGCGTAGATGCGACTCAATTTCTCAAGTTCATTCCACTCTAAGTTGCACTGCGTACTCTGACCTTGTTTATAAGCATTCGAAATCCCCATCCTAAGATTTGATGCATTGTTGCCCCTTGTATAAGTCGTTAAACTGTTAGCCTGCACACTTCCACATTCTGGTGTAGTATAGCCACAAAGCTTCCTTAGTTCTGCAAAATTAACAACAATGCATCTCAAAATTTGTTCTTTTAAAATCATTGCACAGCCGTCAATAGTGAGCAATTCTTGAATCTTGATCGGTTCTACAGGGTCATCAACTCCTCTCATTTATCATTGGAGACGGCTACAGATGAATTTGTGCCACACTTTGAAATGCCAGGTAAAATTAAATAGAAAAAGACGGTGGTTAAATTGTATGAACGACTAATGCATAACTTTTATAAAAGCATATGAAAAAGTTGCCCCACTTTAATTACAAGCCAAGACAACCAGACACAGAAAGAAACAATCTCAGTATAAACCTATATACCCAATCTGCAGCAAGACCAAAAAGAAAGTATGAGGCCACTATGAAATCATACACATCTAATATCAATTTGAATTAATCAAGTTGGAAAAGGTCTGGTCTTTTTTGCTTTCTTTCATACTTGGAGAAGCCGGGCCCCTTTTGAGATAAGAACTGAGGAAATTGCAATCAGTGATTCAGCATTATGCAATCTAAATACCTAGTTCATTAGACGAAAGTCCCGGGTGCCTCTTCTAACGTTCAAGTCCTTCAGCAGTCCAACCTATTGGCGTGATTCAATACCTTCTTAACAGAAAAAGCTCTAAAGGTTGAGTGTGGTTTCTGAATTTTCTGATACTGAACCAATTGGGTTTTACTTATGACAACTTTTCTTGTAGTGCAAGTTAAATGAATCTACCCGTATTTTTACCATATTTTTTAATAAAATAACATAAATGAATACGTTAAATCAATAAATATTAAAATTAAAATTATTGCCGAAGTTTTTCGAGGTACAGTTAGTCACACCTTGAAGGCTTGAACCAGGGCATAAGTATCTTCATCTATCTCGACTTTGTCCTCCTCCATCATCTTCAGGATGTCAGAGGCTGATCTCTGAGCAGAAAGGCGCATTCTAAGCAGTGATTTGTATAATGTCAAACTTGCAAACCCAAATAAATGGATAACTCCAATATACCAATTTGTATCCTCAATGTTCCTATGCTTTTCGAAATAATCAGCAAAGGCGATTACAGTATCATCCGATGGCCTCCAATGACAATCTTGCAACACACTAAACCCTTTTTTCATCGCTTCAATGGCTTTGTCCATGTTGCTTTTCAACCTTTCTTACATAAGGATCTCCCATGTCTTATAATTTGGTTAACCGCCTTTCTCCAATGTGTGCAGATGCAAGGCCTCAGCATTCGCAGTCATTCCATTCCACATATGCTTCCAAGGACACTGGAGACTCGAATATCATACCTAAAGCAATTGGATTCCCACTCCATAAAAATCCTCTCGGCTTCTACAATATCACCTAACTTCGCCAAGCTAAAGTAGACAAAGTTCTCCATCCAACCTCAACATTCTTATCATTCAACATTTCTTTATAAACCATCTCCACCAAACCAAACCCGGATAGCTTGGCATTCGCATTCATCCAAAGGTTATAGGATAAAACAGTTAAGGGGATCTTGTTTTTCTTCATCTGCTGTACAACAAGGGGCACATTCCCAAATTCAGATGTGGACATATACAGGTTCATCATCTCATTATACGGGTTAGGGTTCACAATGAGCCCCAACCCGCCAAGCTTCAGCATTAGTGCCTCAGCTTTCTCTGTGTCCCTCTCCACAACATAACCACAAAGAAGAGGGAGACAAGCAGCTTTTTTTGAAGCAGTGCTAAGTTGCTCAAAATACTCTTCAGCTTCCAACATACCATTCACATTTATGGTCGACTGCAACCTCATTGCATGATCACCTGGCAACGTTCGAAAATCGTTTTGGGTTTCCATCCATGTTAGCACCTGATATCAACAGAAACACAATCTACAAATTCAAAACTAACCCCATCAACCATTGCATTACGGAGATGAGCAATCTATTACCCTTCTCTTTCTAAATTCACTAAATTTCCAAACTTTAATTTGAAATTGAGAACTTTAATCTGAAAAAAAACTCTGCAGAATGACCTAATTTACAAATTTTATGAGCATTTTTGAGCAAACAGAACAAGAATTGAAACCTTGAGAGCGTGGCCGAAGCGTTTAGACTTCAAGAGCTGAACGGAGACGCCGCGGAGTTCGAAAACGCAGACCTTGCGACCTCCGTCGACCACCAATTCTGAATCACGGTGGTCGCGCTCCAAACCGGTTTTCTCAGCCCCAAAATCTTGCTCTGAAGCTCGTCGTCCCTGCGCCCATCACCTGACGAAAACGAAGACGAGGACGAAGAGCAGAGAGATGACAGCTGCCTCCGCCTTGCCGAGCTTGCGAAATGCGGGACCACCATCTCAGGCCGGCGACGAGCACACGGCCAAGCCATGGAAGTCCACGACGGCGGAGTTCACAGCAGGGTTTAAGGAAGATCCAGGAGTGTACCCGGTGGGTCCCTGTCCCAGAATATCTGAAACGAATATGTAACACCAAAACGGCACCGTCTGTGCTCGTTAAGGACTCAAACCCCCGGGGCTCGCAAAGTACGGAAAGAAAACCCAGTCGGCGGAGGGTGAAATTACCGAATTGCTACTTCTGGAGCTTCATCGATCACAGTAGCGGAATCAAACACCTCTGTAAAAAAGGATGCTAAAATGGAGCTTCCTTGGCCTGGTGAGCGACGCGAAGCTCGAAGACTGATTCTCTGTTTTTCTTCATGAATTTTGCTTTATTCATAGAATTTCATGTATTGGGATGCAGTTGCGGAGGCGTTTGGTGTCGTCGGTGGCGGTGGCGGCAGAGTCGCCTATTGTTCAAGTTGATTGGCATAGGGGCCACTCCTGGTTCAATAAGGCATTGTATCCAACACCTGGTGAGCTTATTTGCTGCTGCTTTTACTGCTCGTGCCTGACTGTTTTGTAGGTATTGTAGGAGAAGTTGGAATCGTTCTTAATTTCTATGGTTTTTGAACTTAGGTTCGAGCTCTGGCGGTGCGGTGGCTGGTTTGGCTAGCTCATTGGGAAATCGTTATTTCCATGCCTCAGGTTTTCGCACATTATAGCTCTATTGGTTCGAGCTCTGGAGTGGTGGCAACCAGAATTTTGTGGGTTTAAGGCTTAAAGTTCTTATCTTTGCAGGGTTTTGCCGCGCACCTGAACGAGATTATTATGAGACTCTCGGTGTTTCGAAAAATGCAAGCGGAGATGAGATTAAAAAGGCTTTTCGCACGGTCAGTTTTCGGATTTGCAGTTGCATGTATGAAGGATTTTGGGTGTGATTTTGAGGTCTAGTTTGTATAGAAAGAATATCGTGGCTAAGGCTATTGCATTGCATAGAGGATTCACCATATACAATGAAACTTAATATGTTAGTTCAGCGTCTGGTTCAGTTTAAAATGAGTTTGCATGTTTAAATTAAAAATTTCTGGTTGGATGTGGACTGTGAGAGGAACTTTTTCGATACGAATGAATATTGTACGAAGTATTAAGTTGGAATGTGAAATGTGCAATAATGCTCCTTTCCCTATTCGTGTTTCTTTGCACTCTTATCTGATTATAGAGTAACTTGTTGAGGGATTCTCCATAATAAACAGTATGGTAATTTTTGACACTGTTATGTATGCAGCTTGCCAAGAAATACCATCCAGATGCAAATAGGGACAATCCTTCTTCTAAAAGAAACTTTCAAGAGATAAGAGATGCCTATGAGGTTTGACTTGTGGCCGGGTTGCATTTTACCAAACTTCTATTTCTATATGAATTTTAAGGGAGCTGTCGCCAAGCAATCATAAATTTTGGTGTGTAGTGTTTGCGTTAATCTTATTTTTTTCATTGTTAATTCCAGACTTTGCAAGATCCTGAAAAGAGGGCACAATATGACAGGGTAATAACTCTGTCTCTTTCTTTCTCTCTCATACACACACAAACACCTCCACATTGTTTTAGCTAGTTTTTGTAGTTTAAAAGTTGAATCTATTTTGGTAAGTACTCAATTGTGATTACTCCCTTTTTCACTTTTTATTTTGCTTCTACTTGGAAGAAGGTGGTGTGCATGTTCTACTTGTGCCATCAAAAGTTTAATATTTTCTTTGCAATCAAAATCCTTAATCCCACATACTGTTTTTTGATCTGAGTCGGTTGTTCTTTTTGTTCAATGAAGATGCGCTCAAGTGGGTCGGAAAACGTAGGATATACTGCTGGAGGTGCAGAGGGGTTTAGAAATGAGAATCAAAGTCACGGTAGTGCTGGGGCACAGGGGTTTAGATATGGTTTTGAAACTAATTTTTCCAGTTCATTCCATAAAATATTTCAAGAGGTATTTCAGTTCCTGTTCTATCATAAAACTTAATGCAGCTTGTTACTGAAGCTTGTTGAAATCATTAATCTTACTCCGATAGACATTTGATACTGCAGATCTTTGAACATGAGTTCGATCAAGCTGGATCAAATATCCAGGTAAACTTGGTTCGCTTATGGTTACATTTATCATGTGGTTTGCGTTGTGTACTTCCAAGCTGAAATGATTAATGTTTTGAATGTGTTTCGTAGGTGGAGTTGTCACTTTCTTTCCCTGAAGCTGCTAGAGGATGCACAAAGCATCTCTCTGTCATTTCACATGTTCCCTGTGATTCGTGCTGTGAGTAGATTAAATGTTTGAAGATCCGATTGTGGTTTTTAATAGGAAATCTCTTAAATATAACATATATCTCAAAAATTAAAACCATTGTGTGTTTTGGAAACCTTTGACCATAATATAGATGACTATCTATTTATTTTCTCTTTTATATGACAATGGATTTCTTTTTATACTCTTTTTTTATTTTATTTTTGTTTTTATATATATATAATTTGGTTGTATAGAAATTAAGAATCATGACTAATATTTAGTATAAATTCTGTTGGTTAGTCGTATAAGAAACCACTTTTTGGACTCCGATTTTTTCATTATGTGTGACTGATATTTCACGTTGGGAAGTGGAATTTCTCGTTCTTGTTAGAGTCCAGGTTACGGGGTCTAGAATATGTGTTCCAGTTCAGGGGTCTGTGGCTGGACATCGGGGTTTGTATCTGAAGTACAGTTTGGGCCTGGTCAGAGTCCAAGGTCGGGTCTGGTCAGAGTCCAAGGTCGGGTCTGGTCAGAGTTCAAGGTTCTGGCTTTTGAAGTTCTATTATCTTTGATTCTGGATTAACACCAAGATTTTGGACTCTACAATCCATTTTAAGGTTCCCTCCCCAAATCACAAATCTGATAAGTTCCCAAACGAAGTACACTAGCAACATGCTATCACTTAGGATAGAAAAGAACACGAGTGAAAGAAGAAATGATTGTAGATTAGAACCATTATGACAAAAAATTGTATTCGGATGGCATTAAGCAAAACCCTGCTGTCAGGAGAGTGATGAATAACTCCACTCTATAATCCCAATGAGAAACAATAGTTCAAACAAGATTATTGTCAAAAAGTTTGCACACATTTTGGATTCATTATTTTGCGTTGTTCGTTTTCATGGTTTCCATGTAACAATTTGTCCCTTGTTATAAGTAATTTCTCTAGTACCTTATATTTCATAATGAAGATGGGCGTGGCTATCCACTAAATGCCAAGACCAAAGTTTGTCCTACTTGCAGAGGTATTGGGAGAGTAAGTCTTAAACATCTACGTTGATGATGATTATGGAAATATTTCTTCTAAAAGGAGTCAGTTTGAGCAGATGACTTTTATGTTATTTTATATTTGTCATTCTACAAGTGTGACAAATTATTAACTACAATAGTCTGTTCTGAAGTTTAATCTCCTACCAGGTTACAGTTCCTCCATTCACATCAACATGCAGTACGTGTAAAGGATCGGGCCAAATAATCAAGGTTTAACTTGATTCCCAATGAGAAAACTATTTTGGTTAATTGATGGACGCAAGTCATACTGTTGGTGTTTAATTTATCTACCTGTTGCAGGAATATTGCTTGTCATGCAGAGGATTAGGGAATATTGCTCCATAACCTAAATGTTGTGGAGGACTTAATCCTTTGCTCGCCCTAAAAAAGAGGACAAACTGGAATTGTGTCAAGCTTCTGGAATTTTATCACAGCATATGATAATTTAAATTATCATATAAAGGTCGTACCCAGTGCACAAGGCTCCCGCTTTAAGCAGGGTCTGGGAGAGATGAATGTCGGCTAGCCTTACCCCCATTTATGGAGAGGCTGCTCCCAAGTCTCGAACCCATGAGCGGTAGGTCTCGGGTTCGAGACTTGGGAGCAGCCTCTCCATAAATGGGGGTAAGGCTAGCCGACATTCACCTCTCCCAGACCCTGCTTAAAGCGGGAGCCTTGTGCACTGGGTACGACCTTTATATGATAATTTAAACTTGACCCAATGAAGGCTTGCATTCAAGTGACTCATTGTATAGAAGCTAGTATGGTTGTGAATGCGTATCCTGATATGCCCTGTCAAATTCTGTTTCTCTTTGGTGCAGGTTGACGAAGATCCTATCTTTGCTAGAGATGGTGCGGATCTTTATGTGGACTCTAATATTAGCTTTACACAAGCGAGGATGATTCCTTGCATTCATATGCCTAATAGCCACCTTGTTTCTACGTCTACATGATGAGATATTTTCTTTTGGCAACGTCTGGTGCTTTCCTTTTTGTACCATATGATATTATCTCTGTCTTTATCTTTTCCAACATTCTTTTAGCATCCTCATTATTGTTTCTTTTGGGGACTTCCATGTTTGCTCTAATTATTTTAGTTGTACTTCAAAAAAAAAAAAAAAATGGATAAAGTATCTGATGCAAGTTATTTTCCAGTAGGCATTGAAGGCAATTTTCGTTGTCCTGTTGTCCCGTGTCGTACCCAGTGCACAAGGCTCCCGCTTTACGCAGGGTCTGGGAGAGGTGAATGTCGGCTAGCCTTACCCCCAGTAAATATTTTTTTCTACAGGCGTTAAATATTACTTTTGATGGTGAATGTTTGAATATTTCAGGCTATTCTTGGTGGTACGGTTGAGGTACCAACTTTATCTGGGAAGATAGAAGTAAAAGTAAGAGTTTTCTCTTTATTTTAAGCCTCCAGTATCTAGTTAACTTGAAACTTTGTTGCGAATACCTTTTCTGTGTAGCCACTCGAATAAGTGGTCTTTGTTAGTTCTGTTAGGCAACTTGCATAGTTTATGAAGTACGCTCAACTACATGGCATGAGTTTGGGGTTCAGGGATCTTGACTACTTTATCAAGTACGATATGGTATAAGCTAAGTATAAGATGCAGTATAGCTCTGTAGTCCTATGTTGCACAGACAAGGAAACAGATACGGCGACCCGGCAAATCTCAAAAAGTAAGGAACGTATATGGCTAGGACACAGCGATTAAAATATAGTAAAAATATTACATATATTAAAAACAATACTTTGAATTCATAGATAACAAAGTACTTGTGTTCATCAAATTTATTCACCATACATAATAATAAAAACACAAACATAATGATTAAAACAACACAAACATAATAATTAAACAACACAGGATTCAAGTCTCAATGATCTTCAAGTCTCTCTTTCAATTTTCTCGTGAACTTCATTGTCATCATTACTAAGGATCATGGTCTCTAATTGGAGAGAAAGAGGACTGAAAAGGAGGTCGGCAAACTTTGGGTTTTAGAAGTTTCAATATTTACAAAACTGCCTGAAAATGTCTTTTACATTTACAAAAAAGCCCCTGCCGTGTCTTGACCATATCCGAGCTGTGTCGGAGCTGTGTCCGGGTGTCCGATACTTCGGGGTTTTGGAGTGTCCGTGCAACATAGCTGGAGTCTCTCCATCCTGCTGATTTGAAAATAAAATAAAATATTGTTAAGGTCAGGAATCTAACGTGTTGTATGTCAGTCTCGGCAGCTTTTTATGTTCTTTGCTTCTTCAGTAGGGCGTTTATTGAATTTTATATGAGGATTGAAGTACTAAAACAAATACTAAAGAATGAGAGTTAAACCCAATATGCTGTATGTTAAAAGAAACAAATGTAGTTAAATTGGGAAACTGATCATCCGTGCGTTGCCTAATATTACCACCGCCCAGTTCTCTCTATGATGACGTTCATTGTGGTGACATTCTTATTTGTTTAGGGTCAGATGATTGATTGTGAATTAGGCTGAATATTTATTTTAGTGAGTTAGTTATTGGTGCTTCCTAATGAGACTTTATTAGCTGACTTACCATATGGATTGGCTCCTTCTTGTGATTGGATTTCAGTTTTGCCTATTGAGTACTTTTCTCTTTCCATTCCGCTTGTCTTCATATTTCTCTCTGTTCCACTTTCTTCTTGATCCTACATCAAATTGACTCTTCCTTGTAATTATGGACCTGTTAGATACCAAAGGGGGTTCAGCCTGGACAACACCTGGTACTCAGAGGCAAAGGTAACTATTCTTTTTAATGCTTAAAATTTAGTACCCTTTTTTTTATTGAAATTTGCTTAGCCAGAAGGTTGTTGCAGGACTGCCAAAACATGGTTTTCTAGTTAAGCATGGAGATCAATATGTGCGATTCCGAGTTAAATTTCCCACGTAAGCTGTCTTTATAATTATGTATATTATATGTTTACGTCTTAATGCTTTCCTTTTTTGTTGTTTGCACATTTGTTTTTGGCACTGTTTACTCACATATTACATTTGTAATATGATTATTACTTGAGTCCTTTAGATCATTTAGTCCAAACATTTGTTTTAGTTGGTGTTTGTTTATATACTTGGACTTATCCTTTTTTTTCCCCTAAAGAACTGTTTAAATTTACGAAAATGCACGTTGGTCTGATCAAGTGAAAACTGTTCTACTTGCTGGTTTACCCCCGTGCTCAGAAACCTAAGTTGAACTTAAAGTTAACAACCAACGCTGGTTTGCTCTGTGAATGATTTGTGTTATAATCTGGCAGAGACGACTGACTAGCATACTCTTTTTTTTTTTAGTCAATGACTAGCATACTCTTGGTTAAACTTGTAACTGATATTTACAAATTAAAATTTTTAATTTCAAAATCTTACTGGCCCACAGGCTAAGGCCTCACTGGAACTTGTACACACTTTTTCTGTCAATTTTTTTTCCTGGTGTTGGCTGTCGTAGGGCTTCTAGATTAATTTCTACCTACACAGCTGTATACATAGTCTTTACAGACATGTAGAGGAAGCCCTATTGTTGCATGATAAGTACCTTTTAAGACTGATATCATGTTCTATATTACTGTACTTTAACGAACTGCAGTTCTAGGTGTAGTGGTTTTTTTTTTTTTTTTTTGGTAAACGGTTTAATGGTTTTTTGACATTGCAGTTAGTTCTACATTTGTGAGCTACGAGAATGCTTTTATCCCATTCATCTTTTTTTTATTTTTTTTACAAAGTGAAATCAACGAACAGCAAAATGCTATATTAGAAGACTTTGTGGAGGAGGAAATTATTCATGGAGACGGTACTTCCAATTCCAACAAAAGAGATTGGTAGGCCATCTACTCGTAAAATGCTTGTTATGTGATGCTTTTTTTCCCTCTCAGAAACATAAACATCTATAACAGTACTTGGTTGCTTGTGTAATGTGATAGTGTTTAAGCCACGTATTAGATTCTAGGGTAAGATACACTTATCACCCCTTTAGTTTCTTAACCATTTCAAAATTCATGCTTCTCTATTATGAAGAATTTTAACCGCATGTCCTTAATTTGTGTCAATCTGAATCCTGTATTCATGTTCGTTAAATGTGACTGGTGGAAGGCATTGTAAAATGCTCGACATGTGAATTTTATGTTCAAAACGGCTTGGTGAAGTCAAATGAGCATACATCAATTAACTGAAATACGGGCTAAGTATTGGTGAATCTTTTAGTCACTTTCTGATAATGATGATTATCTTTAACTGGATAACAGGCTTTATCAGCAGCTATCTACTGGTTGAACTTACAGGTTTCAGAGAATCCTTGAACGTGTTTCGGAGCCTAGGTTTATGCTTCAACTCTCGATATTCGTATTGATCCTTTTGTTGCTGAACAAATCCATGGGCTCAATGCTGGCCCCAGGCAATTTTGATCGAGATACATAGACCACTTTACAGTGATATAGAGAATGCCGTCTTTCCCATTCTTTGGAGTTCCTGTTAATTAAAGGTACCAATCTTCTCACGGCTAGTCAATATATTCCCCACCCTTTTGCTGCTGTCCTTTTTAATCTTACTTCTCAATTGGTTGTATAGAAGTGCAACTTCTCAATGTGAAAGTTTGAAAATAATGGTTGTCTAATTATTGAACTTCTTTTCAATCTTCACACTGAAATTTTTTCTTTTAGTGGTCACTTTTATTGTATATATAACATTTTTATTATTGGTTACATAATTAATTATCAAGCAAGATACGGAGCTATCGAGATTGGTAACAAGCATTTAAGATACTTCGGTGTTGATATTGGTAGTAAGCTTCAGGCCATTTTGATAACCATTTCGTTTTTTGTTTTCACTTTTTGTGTTAGTGATAGAGGGGAACTACACAGGGATAAGCAGGGATAAAGAAGAGTGGAATAAAGGATGGTGGTAGAGATGTAGAAGAAATGAACAAGGAAAGGCACAAAAAAAGAACACTAGAAACCAAAAACCAAAAACTATTTTAAGTTGTTCTTACTTTCAATGATTTGTTTTCTTTCACTCTTCCTTTTACTTCCCCTCTCCCATCATTCTTCGTCCATCCCTTCTTCTTACCCCATATCTCAAGTAGAAAAAGTGAAAACCAAAAACTATAAACGAAATGGTTATCAAACGGGCCCTTAGCTTAAAATTAGGTTTTTGAACCAGTCTCTCCTATGCCAATGAGGCTAAGTAATTTACTTACGTGGTCTTTTCATTATCAAACGGGCCTTGGTATGTATGATTTCACCATATGTTTGTATAGGTCTTACTATGTTCTTTGAACTTTCATTGATGTTGAAGTGTTTCCATGTTTACTGAAGATTAGTATTTGTAGTCATTATTATTACTACTTGTGAAGCAGCTTTCTGTGGTTGATCGTTAACTTGCTTTCTTTTTTTTTTATTTTACTTTTTGCAGGATGAACGTTCGTACAAGTTAATTGGAGTTGTTGAGGATTTACGTAAAGGAGTTGTTGAGGATTTACGTAAAGGAAATGTTATTGCAAAATATTTTGGTGACCTATAATTGAAAAACGATATGCCCTGTTTTAAATGTTTAACATACGTTTATACAAGTTCGGGCAGTATTTATGAGCCCTTGACGAAAAAAAAGTTATTGAATAAGAGTGGTGCATGTGTTTATTTTCGCCATTGATTGTAGCTTCTAAGAACCCGTTTGGGAATGCTTATGTAAAAAATACATGCTCATGCCATTTCTAGATGCACAACAAAATGATAATAAAACTTGAAATAGTCTCTTTGCAAGACGCCCGTTACTTAAACTTTAGGGCATTGTAAAAATCAGTTTTATGTTTTAGACAAACCTCCCTATTCGACAAAAAAAAAAAAAAAAAAAAAAAAAGAACACGGAGTAAAAAAACAAAGAGACAAGTGCTCATTGTAGATATCTATGTATCATTGTATCATTGATAGTTAGTACTTGGACAACAACGACAAACATTAATGTGAAAAATGAACGGTTCAAATTACGAGATTGAATCCTTATTATATGGAGATGGGGATTTATGCTTTTTGTATTAGTTATATTACAACCTAGAAGTGATAATTCAACAACTACAGCTGGCTAGATCTTAACTTAGAATATACAGTCTATTTCAGATCTATTTAGTGGTACATCCTATCGTTTGTAAAAAAAAATTTATAAAATTGTTATCACTAAACTAAAATACTAACTATTGATTTGGTAGCTAACTTAAATAAATGTCTTAAACAATTTGAAGACTTGACCTTAGTCATCCTAAGATTAGAGAGGAAAAGTAAATGAAAAGATAAAGAATCAAAACATGGCCTTACTCTTTTGAGAAATTATTGAGAATACGGCCGGCAAAGATTTTTATTTTTTTTTTAATTTTTTTAATTTTTTATAATTAATCAAAACTTGTACACATAAGTAAAGCTTAAAAAGTTGACGGTTTTTCCATGTTCTTTAACGCATACAAAGCTCCCTAATAATTTACAATTTATAATGAGAACGGTGAGTGGCACTTTAAAAATCTCATTTTGCGTTCCAAATTTTTTATAATTTGAAAGAAAAATATACTTGTAAAAAGTAGAAAATGAAATTTTTGGAGTGCTAATAACAGTTTATTTACAATCAACTAATATATGAAAACCAATGTAGGAAAATGATTCAAACAAAGCGAAATATAGAAGAATTTGTAAATGCCAAACGGCAGAGGTGGCCTTTCCCTCGTTCTCAAACTCCAACTAGGGTTTTTGACTACAGACTAGCTAGGGTTCAAGCTAGGGTTCCAGTTGTTGAGGAACCTGTGTTACTTCTGGTGTTTCTTTCTTTTTCTCTGAAATTTCGGCTTGCTTTCCCTTTTCCTCTTGCTTGCTGTGTTTTATCTCACCATAGAAGTAAGAGACAAATCCCCAGAGAGAGAGTGCAAGAGAGACTCCCTTTACTGCTTGGAATTTTTCATGGTAAAAAATAACTGCTAGGACCTCGGTTACGGGGAGCAAAACGGCAATTAGAATTCCAGAAAACAAAGATGAGGCGCAGAAGATGACTCCTACGGCTCCCAGAAAAAAACCTTGCCACAGTATAGCACTAAATACCAGCACCACATAGTAACTGGTTTCCCCCAGACCGAAGTTTCTTGCTTCTCTTGGAATAACCTGAAAAAAGTAGTAAATAAATTAGGCCATTTACCAAGCAAATATTTTTTTATATACCACTGATTTTCTACGCTCATTCAGCCCTTTATTATTTTTTTTATGAGATTAAATTGTACAAAAACTTAAGTAACAAAAATCTTTTATAAATAATGATAAAGTAATTAAAAAATACCAAAATTTTCTCAATTTTATGACATGGCTGATACATATGAACCGATAAAGTAGAATAAAGTCAAACTTATTAGTTCGTAGTTGGTACAACAACTTTTTAAATTAATAGGAAGTTTTAACTAAAAATTTACGGTACTGTTTACTTTAATGAAAAATCATATTTTTACACTAAAAAGTCAAACCTAGTCCTATTCACTTTACTCTTTATTTTGTCCTTATCGTTAAAACTCAAAGTTTAAGTTATTTTCATTAGTTTTCTTTAATTCAAATCATGAAGTAATCGAGCTTTAGTACACTGAGGATATAGGCCTAGGAAAAGGAAAAGAAAACGGAGTAGGATTTTTTTTTATTTTTTTACCTTCCTTTCATTTTCTTCTTATTTAAACGATCACGGTTAAATCACGTCAACATCTTATATTAAATTTTTATTAAAAAAAGACAAAATAAAAAATGTAAGAGAAGCTGATGAAAGAAGATGAAAAGACAAAGGAAGAGAATCTTAAGTCAAAGAAAACTAGTGGATTTTCTGAACTTTATAGTATCGTTTGGTATGTAGATGGAACGGGACGGGACAAGACAAAACGAGACGGAATGGAGAGGGAACAAAGATGCCCTCGGATGGAAACAAGGAGAAAGGAGGAGACAGAGATGTTATAATTTTGTATTTCACAGATGTAGAACGAGTTGTTCTAGGGGATGAGGCAGAACGAAAATTTACCCAAAACTAGTCCTGTGGAACAGCGCGTTCCATCCGTTTTAAGCATACCAAATGTGGGACGGAACGCCTCTTCCCACTCCATTCCGTCCTTTTCCACTCCGTTCCATCTCGTCTCACCTACCTAACGATAGCTATAAACATGAAAGCTGGCCAACCAAAGCTTATCTCCTCGAAATTGTAAACAAAAGCCACTTTATATATTTGATATTCTATTGGCTCTACGAGGATAAGTACTTTCCCTTCGCACTTGGGAAAGGAGTGTTGGTATTTTAAAGATATTTACTAATTATTATGTGTCGCTATTCTTATACATTTTTAAGATTCTACAACTTTACTTGGATGATCTTTTTTATAGACAGTTCAAATCATCACGTCTTTATTTTTACAGAAAGTGTAACTAATTTTTTTTAAAGATAAAGATTCAAAGTGACTAAGAAGGCAGTTCAAATCATCACGTAGAATCTTTAAAATAAAAAGATAAAGAAAAGATCAAAGGAAAATAGTATTTATATATGTCTGATTTATTGAACAATATAAAAAAATAAAAAGAGAAGATGTGCATAACAATAGAGAGAAAGATAGAAATATGTAATTGTGAAGTGTGTGACACCCCATTGTGCCTTTACATAATAAACTCTTTACCCCAATAGAATTACAACTCTAATATAATAATACTCTAATATGATAATATCTAGTCTAAAAAATATGGTAAAATCTACAAAGATATTTCAGACACAATACGATTTACACAACTGTATTCCTAAACTACTAGGTTCTGCAACAATAACTAGCATTCTTCTTATTATGTTGTATTGATCATCGTTTTGTTACAAGTTGGTCTCACATAGGAGTGATCTATCCCAATTAGACGGGGTCCAGATAGCTAGTGAAGAGAGAAACGTTACCTGCAAACTCTTTACCCATATCTGGAAATTACATTAGCACTTGTTTTTTTTTTTTTTTTTGGGTCGAAAATAATATTTCTTGTTAGACTGTCTATTCGTACGACCGTTAAGTAGAGCTTGTTGTAAAAATTTGGGGTCTAGAAACTCACACAAGAGAAGCATATGTGACTAATTAACAAGCAAGAAAACACTAACATATGTGAAGTAGAATTGGATGATAATTAAGCACAGGCCGGATACAACTAACCTTGAAGTCGTTGTCGATAAACATTCCCACGGTGCAAAAAAGAGTAGCAAACAAACACATAACCAATTGAATCTCCAGAACCAAAGCATATGTAATGGTCTGCTTGGCCTTCTTGTATGTCAACTCTATCAACGGCAGCACAAATCCATACAAAGCAGCCGCCGCCACCGTCATAAAAAACCCGGCAATATACTCCTTATTCGATTCCCCCTCTGGTCGATCAGAGCTGGTGTTCAACCCCAAAACAGCCGCGCCAATAGTCAACAGCACGACGGCGTTTATGGAGAATGAGGTGAACTTCTGCTTCACAAGAATAAAGGCAAAAAGGGCAGTGAAGGCTAGCTGGCCAGCGATGATTAGGGCTGACGTGGAGACCGGAAGTCGGGCCACGCCGTAGGCGTAAAGGTAGTCATCCAGGCCGGTGAGGACGCCGATGACGGCAGAGGCTATAAAGAGTGGGAGCTTCATGAAGATGATTTTTGTTGATGGGCCTTCAGTCTTGCGGCGGTGGTAATAAGCCATGACTAAGGGGATGAAGGTGATCGGCCAGCCGCCGGTTTCGAGCCAGCTCGAAAGCCAGACGCGTTTGCCTCCATGGATGAAGTAGAGGCGCATAACCAATGGACCTCCAGCTGTGCCTATGGATAAAAGGATGCAGCTTATAACGAGAAGGAGCTTTTTTATGGCAGCGTTACGTTTTTCAACATGATCGGTTTCCATTTATATCTACGTGAGGCCCTCACACACAGATTCAGAAATCTCAGGACCGGACCAGTAATGAATATGTGTTTCTCTGTGATGTTAAGTGTTGTAGGGCTGGAGAGAGCAAGAAATGAACCGGCTGTGTCGGAGTGAAATAATGGAGCAATGGATGGCGACACCGAGGGTGTGACAAAAGAAAGGGCGTCGAGCAACGTTTACATCAAGAGTAGTGGAGGTGCCAATCATGAAGCGTAAGATTATTGAATAGTCAATGGTATACATAGACATCTTTGACTTGTCGTATTGAAAATTGGTTCTCATTTGTGTAATTTTTTTCCTCAATTTTAACTATGAAAGTTAAAGAGAGATTTTGTATTTGATCCATCAATTCGGGATCATGGAAATGTGGACGTTTCTAACGTACTTGGGAAATAAAGGTGTTTGGGCCCAAAATATTGGTTTGGGCCGATAATAAAAGCCGAGATTTATTCTCGGCCCGGAAGGCCTTACGAAAAGGTTACCGTGGATCGTTTAGTTCATGGGCTTCCTAACCTAGGCCGGCCAAGTCATGTTGCGAGACAAGTAATTGAATCCTGGCACAATAAGGCGTCTCGGCAAGATATAGATATTGATAACCCGGAAGTGAATCCGGCTTGATGAAGGATTGGGTTCAAAGTCATAGTGAAAATAGGACTGGTCGAGATAGTGTTTGATTAGAATAAGAAGTCCTAATTCGAGTAGGGTTTTAACTCGATCTAGAAAGTAC